CTCTCTCTCTCTCTCTCTCTCTCTCTCTCTCTCCCCCAACACCCACCACCTCCCCCCAAAACACACACACACAGAGCTCGTAAAGGGCGCAACGGGCATTCCCGATTCTCCCTTTCTTCTCGACAGGTGCAACAAGTGGCAAGAACGAAACACTACAGCTGCGGGAGATACAAGTGAGGCTATCGGATTACTTCACATACACGGAAGTCCTGTGGTTCGCCCGCGAGCACCGCGATGGGGGATGCCATGATGCTCAATCAGATCAGAGACCAGCCAAAAAAATTAGCACGATCCTACTCATCAGACAAGAAGAAGAAGCTTACCTGTACGACGAGGCTGCACGCCATAGCCTGCAGCGCTTCTTGCTGCTTGCTTTCCGAGGCAAACGAGTTTCTCGCACTCCGTTCGTAGCATTCGCAGAGCAGTGGCATCAACAGAGCAGCGTCCTTAGCACCAGCCCCACCAGCATCCGTATCACCATCGGCAGCGGCGGCAGCAGCAGCTGCGGTGACGGTGGCAATACCCCGACAACGACCACGCGAGGTGTCAATCGGTCATCCTCCGAGAAGCCGTTGGCAGCACAAAGACGAAAAGGGTAAGGGGGGGGAGGCAGAGACAGACGGAGAGCGAGCGGCAGCAATGACTTCGGCAATCCCAAGAGCGGCGCAGTCGCTGACGTCACTCGTCACTCCACCTCACTCGTCATCTTCCCCGCCTGCCCGCCCGCTCGCCCGCCCTCTCCCCTCAGTTTTTTTTTTCCCCCGCGCTCGCTCGTACGATCTTTCGACGGGACACGATTTTCGTCAACCGGCCATCCTCCCAGAAGAAGCTCAACACGCGCACACCTCCGAAAATCTCAACGCGCGCACAGATAACTCTCTCTCTCTCTCTCTCTCTCTCTCTCTCTCTCTCTCTCTCTCTCTCTCTCTCTCTCTCTCTCTCTCACACACACACACACACACACACACACACACACACACACACACACAAAATATACACACGGAAAAGAAATTAAAAAACGCTGAACGCGCACACACCTCCTCGAACCTGAACGCGCGCACATGTAATTCCCTCTCTCTGTCTCTCTCTCACACACACACACACACGCACAATCTCACACCAAATATACACACGGCAAAAAAAAAAAAAAAACGCTGAAGAAGAAGGAGAGTTGACTGCGGTTTCCCGCTTTTTTTGGCCGATAGCCGGCACAAACCACGACCTTTCTGGGTCGCACTGTGCGCTCTGCGGCACATGTCTAGCTTGTTATTCTTCCCACGCCTCTCATTCTGTTTTCTGCCCCTTTTACCAATTTACCGGCGGTCTACTTTGCCACCACCCCGCTCCTTCTGCCAGGCCCCCTCATGGTTTCCGACGTCATCCGAATCTTGCCCGCGAGTCCCCCACGGGAGAAGCGCGGATCCCGTCCACGCGGGCCAAATGAAAATCTGCTCCGCGCAGATGGCTGGTGCGGGACAAACGGGACAACCTCGACACTCGAGACTAACAACAGCGTATCTGTCTGTCCCAATCTCCACGCCGGGACGAGAGCGTATGTGTCCCAGTCTCCACCGCGGGAGCAAGGCCCCTTGCTCCACTACTGCCAAGTGTTCAAGACGAGAACGAATCTTCCCCTCAAACATGGAAACATACACAGCCATAATTTTTTGTCTTCTGTGCACGTGGTGAGTACTGGAGCGAGGCCCAAAATTCCACCTCCCAAAAGTCCAGCCTGCCAAAGAGATATGCTTGTGCTGACTTTGAGTTTCTTTTTTCCCTTTTGTTTCCTTACTTTTGAGTACCTTCATTGCCTCGTGTCGCTCTCTGTCGGGCTCCACAGCCCACCGTTTTAGATTTCGAGCCTCGTTTTCGAAATGAGTGCCCCATTTGCTAGTGTGTGCCTCGCAAGAGCAGTGGTTCGTTCTTGCAAACTACCGCCTACCCCGCTTCGTGACTACCGGTAGACGCAGACAAGTGGGCACTAATGAAACTTTTTTTTTTTTTTTGGGGGGGGCGGAAGAACCTGATCAATATATTGCAACGATTGGGAACTTCAGGCCGGGAATCCTCACAAATAACCCGGGGGCAAGGTCCCACTTGCGCAAATTAGGAGATTTCGGCCGTTGATCTTTGCTATCTACGGTCAGTATCTCTTAATTCGTGCAAGTGGGACCTAGCCCCGGGAGTGGACTCTGGGGCCAATACCCAGCTTAGGCTCCTGCTGGAAACCGGGTCCAGCGTCCCCTTCTTAATCACCCACCCCTAAGTTCCAAACAATAAGCTTCCTCCAAAATAAACGTTGAAGCACAGGCAAAAAAAAGGGGTGGGGCTGAGAACACTCAGTCCCTCCAATCTCCAAGGCGTGCTCAAGGCACCCTACTTCTCCGAAGAAATAAGTTTCAGATAGTCTAACCTGGCTACCTATCTCGGGCCTAAAGACGGCCCAGATCCTCTTCCCCTTAGATTAGTCATGTGTGGCCCAGATCCTCTTCCCCTTAGATTAGTCATGTGTACCCGACAGCCACGTACAGATAGTAAAGCGACCTTCTTGCTTGACAGAAGCAAGTTTACTATCGCGGGTCCAGGTCTTCTGAAACTAGACCACATTTTCCCTTTGCCATTCCACCCTTGTTATCCTTCTGAAACCAGACCACATCTTTCCTTTGCCATTCCACCCTTATTATCCTTCTAATGCTCAGTTTAAGTGTATGCTGTTGCTATTTTCTCGAGGTGTCTTCTCCTCTGAAGACTCTTGCGTTTCTGGCTGCCCATATATTTTCCATTAAAACTCCTCTGCAGCAGAGTGCCACAAAGCCCCAGTCTGATGAATAATGTTTATCTGAGGGTGGCGGTCCAGTAAGCATCCAAAGGTCTGTCCACTCGAACCCTTCCTGGACGATACGCCCCCAGTGCTTCTTCCACCACATCAGTAGCTCATCCACTAATGAGCACTAGAGCCAGAGGTGTATTGAGTTTTCCCAACCCCAGTTACACCTCAGGCACTGTGTAGGCACGTCCATCCCCCTGGATGGCAACTACATTGTTGTGGCGGTCACCGACAAGTATTGGATCCACATGATACTTGCATTGTGACGAACCATTTTCTGTAATCGTGCGACTTTCTGCGCGAAGCTGCCTCAGGGAAATGGATGGGTTGGATGGATGAGCCATGGAAGGACGGGTTGGTCGAGCAAATTGCAGGGATGCCCTCGTTTCTTTTTGTTTTTGTGGGAATCTGTCGGGTCAGCGTCGGGAGAGTCCCGAGCCAACGATTGAGTAACCGCGCCTTAGTGGGAGCGACGAATAGCGGTGGCCATGACTTCTTTCTTGTTTTGCTGAAAGCACTTGGAATTTTGGCGCGATCATCACGCGGGAATATCGTTTTTGAATTTTCAACTGACGACGAGCCCCCACGGGCTCGTGGAATTGTTTTCTTTTTTGCCTCTTCGGAATTTCCCTTTTGCAATTAGGACTTAGGCTAGGAATTTAGGTACTCTGAATTTTAGATGTGTCGTGCTTCTCACTCGCGCAATCTTGCAGCACTAGGAACTGGGCTCTGACTAGATCGCTCCCTTAATCTTGTGTAACTGTCGTTGTTGGCAGGCGCGATTGTAACTGTATCGTTCTTCTTTCTTTATTTCCTCGTGTTTGCCCGCCTTCTTTTTCTTCTTTGCCTTGCATGTTTCTCTGTTCTAATTGGCATGAACGCCTGTATGACCGGATTGATACGTGGAGTGCGGCTACGACCCCCATGCCACGATCTGGCCATGCAGACGTAGCCTCTTCCTCTCTTCTCCTTTTGACCACTTGGACTTAATCCCGTATCTTTCGCGCAAGCATGCATGCTATAAATTTCACAAGCGCGATTAGTTTTCTCTCTATGAATTTGGAGTTAGCGCGATCAGTGAGGGTCGACTAACGAGTTAGCTTGAGAGGTGAGTCGACGCGAGAGTTGGGCGATCCGACGAGCTGGTGTCGGGTATGCGGGGTTGACGTGCGGACCACGACGGTTTGTGGCGCACGGGCAAACCTGGCTTGCATGCTCGAACCAAGCAGAGTGACAGCTCTGTGTTGATGCGGGGCGACGGACTGCCCGCATCGGGGAGTGTAGAGAGAGAGAGA